TGCTGGAAGCAGCTCCACGGCGCTGGAGCCAGCGGCATGACGGAGCACCGGGCGCTGCCGGCACAGCCACCGGCGTGCATGGCACCCCTGGCCCTGGCTGAGCCCCCTCCTCTGTCCCCAGTGGCGCAGACGCGGTTCGTGGAGGAGCCGGAGGACCAGACGGTGGTGGCCGGCCAGAAGATCGTCCTCTCCTGCGTGGTGCTCAATTACTCCGGGATCGTGCAATGGACCAAAGACGGCCTCGCCCTGGGGATGGGGCAGGGGCTCAAAGGTACCCGTGGGGCGGCAGGTAGCTCTGGGGACGACACCGCGTGGGGCAGGGGCTGTCACTGCGCAGGAGGCTATTGGGTGTTACATCTCCTGCGTCGCCGCATCCCTCCGACCGGTTTCCCAGGTCCCTGTGCAGCATCGCCGGCTGCTGCGCGGCCGGGGCCACGTGCCCCAGCAGCGAAGCACCGGCTGTGGCTGAGTGCCCGCGCTCGGCTCCTTCCTGTGCACACTGGGGTCCATCCGTGTACTGGGGTCCCTGCATGCACTGGGCCTCTCCATGCACTGGGGTCTCTGCGTGCACTGGGGTCCCTGCACACAGTGGGGTCCCTGTATGTACTAGGGTCCCTGCCTGCACTGGGGTCTCTCCATGCACGGGGGTCTCTCCATGCACTGGGGTCCCTGCATGCACTGGGGTCCCTGCACACAGTGGGGTCCCTTCCTGCACTGGGGTCCCTGCCTGCACTGGGGTCTCTCCATGCACGGGGGTCTCTCCATGCACTGGGGTCCCTGCATGCACTGGGGTCCCTGCACACACTGGGGTCCCTGCATGTACTGGGGTCCCTGCACACAGGGGGGTCCCTGCACACAGTGGGGTCCCTGCCTGCACTGGGGTCTCTCCATGCACTGGGGTCCCTGTGCACCCTGGGGTCCCTGCATGCACCAGGACCCCTCGGTGCACTGGGGTCTCTGCACACACTGGAGTCCCTGCGTGTACTGGGGTCCCTACATGCACCAGGGTCCCTGCATGCACTGGGGTCCCTAGATGCACCGGTGTCCCTGCACACACTCGGATCCCTGCACGCACCAAGGCCCCTTCGTGCACCGGGGTCCTCAAGTGCACTGAGCATCCCACGTGCGCCAGGGATCCCCCGTGTGCCAGGTCCCCTCTGGGCGCCCCTGTCCCCACCAGGGCTGGCACCAGAGACCTGCCTGCAGGCCACCAGCCCCCCAGTCTGCCCAGGCTGTACCCAAATGGGCAGGAGCTGCTTCTCCATGAACAGGGGGTTCCCTCCCGCACCGGCTCCTCCTCCTTGAAAAAGGCACCCTGGAGCATCCCCCCCAGCCCTGGAGAATTGGGTGAACCC